CCAGAGAAACTCTACCTTGAAAACACTGGAAAAGAAACAAAGGTTGGAAGGGAAAGAGAGATGGAATTATCAGCAGGCTCTATTTATCTTGGGTTACAGAGCTCATCTCCAACACTTGGTGGTGAAAGGACGGAGTGACTGAGCCAAGGCAGCAGCCACAGCATCAGGCTTGATTCCCCTTCTCACATGCTATGTTTAGTCCAATCCAGGGTTTGATGTTCCCACTTATTGTCAGTGTTTACATACTGGAACCTGTTGCAGAGTCTGGATTTGGGGCTGCCCTGGGAACATGTGAGGGGTTTGGGAAGGGTGTGCTGGCCTGCCCATGGGCCCAGGCTGCCAAGTCAAATCCAGCATGTTCTTTCTGGGTCAGCACAGTTTCTCCTTCCCCGTTACCGGAACACCTGCAGCCACATTAGTTTTCTTTACTAGCCTGCCTCAAATGACAACAGTGGTACAGAGTGTGCTTGTATTTAACACGGTGTGCCACAGTAGAAGAGGCACTATTATTCTCCCCAGGAAATTGAGGACCACATTAGTAGTGGGTGCTGGGTCGCAGTACCTGCACTTTAGCTTCCAAGTCTGCTTTCAAGCCCTATACCAATACCTTTCTTTGCAGGCCTTGAACTATGTCCCTGCTTTGAAAGGACAAAGAATAGACAGGGGACCTGCCTTCATGCCTTGTGTGACCTAAGGCCCACACATTGAAAACGTCAACCACAAAGCTCCAGCAGGCCAGCAGGAAAAAGCTGGTTTTACTTCTTGCTCTGAACAAAGTTGAACTTGAGCTGAGAGCAGGATAGTGAGACTTGGCAGGTCTTTGGGGACTTTAGAGCCAGCTGTGGTGAACAGGCAAGCTTATCTCTCTTGGAAAAAAAGAAAAATTTAATTCTGTCCAGCCCGCATCTAATTCTCACTTGAAACATTAGCCCATAAACAAATGCAAACCATTTGGACTCCTGACTGTCTTTGGAGAGGCCTTGGGGCTGGGTCACAAATAGGAATAGAGACACTCGACATCTTCATGCCACATCCACTGTGGTCGCCAAGCTACCTGAGCCCCCTGGGCTACCCAGTTTATAGTTTGACAAAGGGAGCCTGTTGTACCAAGAGAAATTAATCTGTTCAGGCTGTTTTGCTCAAGAGCCTCCAGAAATTGAGCCATTTTAATATTCTGGTGCTCAAGGGAAAATCGCACTTGGAAACTTCCATGGTTCAGAGGTAGAAAGAGTTATGGCTGTTGCGGATATATGGCATGGTACCTGAGAGCTATAAATTGAAGATGCTCATTGAACATTTCTACTTACCTGTGTCTAGAGCTATACATGTGACAGTGGGTGGTTAAGGTGGTTTTAAGATTCTACTACAGTGCTAGAGAATGGGCTTAAAAGAGCTAAAGCTGGGACTTGTGGTCAGACTAAGCTCCTAAGTCAGACTCTGGCCAAATGGCTATGAAGAAGTTAACCTATGAGCCTATGGTCACTCCTGCTCCACAGAGCATTTTCCATAAGCGCCAGCTCCATTGTCGTTCTCTTGTGTAAAACTCTTCCATCTAAGAATACCCACCAGGAAACAGAATTGAGGAGTGAGGAAGTTGAAAGGAAAAGTCCTGCCCCACGAGAAGAGGGCGGGTATCATGATAGCACACTACTGCTATAGAAGCCCAGGTTCCAATAAAAAGAAATAGCTTTTTAAAACCTCCAGTGAAGCAGGGCATGATGCCATACACTTTTAAACCCTTCACTCGGGAGACAGAAGTAGGCAGATCTCTGAGTTCAAGGCCAACCTGGTTGGTTTACGAATGAGTTCCAAGACAGCCAAGGCTACACAGAGAAACTTTTGTCTCTAAAAAAACAAACAAAAGTCTTGGATGCTTTAAGAGTGTGCAGTGTTACCTCACCCTGGCCTGTCCCCAGTCCCCTGCCTTGGTCTATGTTTCTCTACAGAATGAGAGGAATGCCAATTAGTCCTGTTATCGGATCCAAATACTTCCTGCTTTGATTTCTCTGATAAACCTCTCTAAATGGAGACCTCTTAGAATACCAAAGCTGGCCTCTGTATGGAATTCCTGGTGAGTAGAAGATCTGGAAGGAATAGTGGGGTGGAGTGCTTCCTCTAGTCCCAAGAACCTCTAGAGGCAGCACCCACTCTTTCCATTTAGGGCTCTTCTTGAAGCCCCGCTCTCGATCACTTACTAAACATGGCCATACCAGTATGGAGTGGAGAAAATAATTCATGAAACTCTTCCTCCAAGATCAGGTAATTTGGCCACTTTGTTTTTCCCATGCCGTCTCTGTTTAAGAGCTTGCAGGTGCTTTTAAATACCAACCAGGCCATGCATACTGCACAGGGATGAAAACTCCTTCAGAGCAGATGAATGGATTCCAGGATGTGCATTACTGAGTTGAAAACAAGAACAATGCTGTTTCAATAGAGGGCATTGTTTTATGAAAGAGAACCCCCTCTTTAACATTTATGTGTTTATTGTGGGGAGGGAAGGTGCATTCATTATGTAAATGGAGGTCAATGTACAACCTGCAGGAGTAGCTGCTTCTCTTCTACAACATGGGTCCCAGATTCAAGGCAGGTTGTCAGACTTAGAGACATGTACCTTGACCCACTGAGCCATGTCAGCCACACACACACACACAAACACACACACACACACACACACACACACACACACACACACACAAAGGAAAAAAGGATTTTGAGCTCACTAAGACTTGCAAGTTAATGTGAAGAGCTAATATATAAAAGGCAAAGATCCCCACATGATTCTTCCAAGACCAGCCTATGATCAGCTCTATTGCTGGCTCATATTAACCAAGTTAAGTCCGAGCACCATTCCCAGTTGTTCAAACAGGAAGAAAGAGGAAAGAATAAAGGAAGAAAGGTAGGGGAGAGAGGGAGAAGGAAAGAAAAAGGGAAGGAAGAAAGGGATGAAGGAAATGTATGAAAAGAACAGAAGATGAGGAGGAAAGAAGAAAAGATAGAAGGAAGCAAAAAAAAAAGAAAAAGAAAAAGAAAGAAAGAAAGAAAAGAAAAAAGAAAAGAAAAGAAAAGAAAAAAAAAAACCCCAGAAAACTATAGTTCAAAATCTTGAAGGGAGTGCCTGCCAAAAGTATGAAATTCAAATATTTAGTCAGTAGGAATTTTTACATAAGAGTTCATACCACATAGTTTGTTGCATACTTGCTGTACAGGGGTTGTTTTTCTTGCTTTGCAGGTCTGTAATCTCTCCGAAGCATGTACACACATACCATAAGGTATTTATGTATGTATTATTTTTTGAAGTTGAACCCCATGGGCAGCTCCATGCTAATCAGCATTCAGCCAATGCTATATCAGAAAAATCTCATTGCAAAGAGGTCTTTTTCAGTGCTTTGAATACCTTAACCTTTGAGAGATATTGGACATTTTGCTAGTGAGCATATCAAACTTTAGAAATGAATTTTCACTGGTGAGACTCATAGTTAAGGAATGTTCTCATTCACTCTCCATAAATAGTATTCAAGATTATATACTAGCTAAAGTGCCTTATTATTGTTGACTCCACCCACTTTGAAAATATATAAGAAGTCTTGGCCTCCTTTGTGGCTACTGGGGTAATTTCTTCAGTGCTAGAAGTAGTGCCCACAAACCTGCCTCTGAAATTTGGTTTCAATTTCTTGGAGACCTAGTCATGCAAAGTGGCTGGTTTAGCAGCCAAAAACGCAGAGAGCAAGGACTTCCCTAAGCGTGCAAGACAACTTGTAGAAACCACACAATTTCTGCTCCTCTGCATTTTGTGGAAGAGTGGATGCAGACTTGGTTTTAGGTTGTGAGGGAACAACTTGCCTACTCTATCTTCTTTTAGAGTAACAACCATTGCTTATTACTGAACCCAAGAGCAGTAAACATACGTGGGCAATGTGTATGGTCCTCACAGAGATGTAGATCCCATTATGACTGTTGCTTACTGCTGAGGGAGCAGGTCTGTTTGCACAGCTTGAGCCACTTGTCTGGGACAGAGTGAAGATGGAAACTGTAGTTGTTTGGTTCTAAAACCTTGCTCTTCGACCATGCAACTTTCTTGTTTGCAGAAAAATTCAAAGTTATATGAGTGTATAAAATGACCAATATAATCATTCAAAGGAACCATTGGAGGCTTACAGACTTATTCATATGCATATTTAGATGAGACTGTACAGTTGTGTGGCAGGTCTGCCTGACTTGCCATGACATAAACACCTCTTCATACCCTTCAACATCAATAGCTTGCATCGCCTGTGGCTGATCCGCTAACCTGGCCTATGGCTATCCTGAACCACCTGCTTACTGAACATTTAACTTCATTCTGATTCTTGGCTACCATGAATAGTGACAATACAGTCGTCTCTGAGAGTAATCTCTTGTTTACTTTTCTCCTTATTTCAGGGCAGATTTCTGGAAAGCAAATTACTGGATCAAAGGGCAAGAACAGTTTAATGGATATCAGGAGGCCTGAAATAGACTGTGGTGTGCTTTGCCTTTATAACAAAGATGAGTGTTACTTTCCAAGACTGATATTTAAAGTCAACCTAAATTAAAACCGCAAGCATTTTGACCAAGAGCAGACTGGCCAGCATATTTATTGATTTCTATCCAGTAGGGGGCAGCACAAATACCAAGGAATTCACCTTTCCTGTTGAAGTTTGCCTCTTTGTAATATATATATATTCATGATTGTTTTGTTAAAATTTAGCAACAACATGGTTGTCAAGTTTACAGGCAGGAGCCAGAAAGGAAAACCTAGTTTGCAAAGATTTATGGCTTTCAGGAATGTTCCGGAAGGCTGTTCCAGATGGCAAAGTGCTGGAGATAAAAGGTTCTTTTCCCTGTGGGCTTGCACTGGAGCTAGGAAAGCAGGTCATAATGAGAGCAGCAACCGGAAGAAGGGCTGGTGAGGCCACGCTGGTATTCTTTGCCCAGTAAGAGGTGGACTGATGGCTCAGAAATGAATTTATCTTCCCAAACAGGATGCCAGAAGGAAGAAGGGAGCACGTGACTGCCAGACTGAGGAAGACCTTTGGAATGACAGACATGAGGTCAGCAACAGGAGGGAAGTGTTAATGAATCATTGAGAAATGTGCTGTGTCTTATCCTCTGGCAAGAGCCCTGGGAAGGTTGGTAAGAAGGGCCAATGTGATGGAACTCAATCCTGATAGATAACCTAGAGATGGTACCATGGTGTTACGAGTAGCTTTTCCACCACCGGTCTTACTACCGCGCCAGCCCCAATTAACACACAGAGGCTTTGTATTAGATATAATGCTGTAGGCCAGTTTCTAGTTTCATATCGGTTAGCTCTGTCTTAATTATTAACCCATTTCTATTAATCTAAGTACTTCCACGTGGTCTTATCTTACCGGAGAGAGGGTGCCTGTGGTTCTGCTCTCTCCAATCTCTCCATGTTGACTCCTCCTTACTACTTCCTCGATTCCTCCTTGTCTCCTAGTCCCTCCTATCTTCCTTTCCTATTGGCCAACAGTGCTTTATTCATTAACCAGTATGAGAAACATATTTACAGAATGACATCTCCCATCACCATGGTCATGTCTTTAGGACATTGGAGCACACCTGAGTCCCCAGAATTCCTATGGGAAAACAGATGTATCACCTTCTGGGGAGGAGCTATGGTTTTATGACTCTGACCCACAAAGAGGTCAGGAATAAGTATCTGTGAAGACTCCTTTCATAACTCTGCTTTGTTCCGAGAGGCCTCTTATTCTGCCAGTATCAGAAAACATGGTCTGGATGTGATGATGTTGGCCCTGGGAGAGTTTCCTAGAAGACAGGAGAGGCTTAGGTAACAGAGTGCATACTCAGCAAAAACTCTACACACTAGAGACTTCTAGGAAGTACCAGGTGACTATGAGGACACAGGTGCCACTTGGAGACATACTTTGTTTCCTCATAGTCTAATTCCTCCTAGCCCTCCAACCAGAGCTGGCTCAAACTGCTGCTTCAGGAAGTTTACAGTAGGAGTTGCATGTCTGCAATGAGGCTGTGTTTCTCTAGCCCCTTGGATTCCTTAATCACGTCCAGCTCCCCTTAGCATCATTATCCATAGAGGCAGAAGCCTGAAAACAATCTGATGGTCCTTGATAGTGAAAATTGAGAATTAGTAATACTTCTTCTATGTTGTGAAACATTAGATGTCTTTAAAAATCATTTCATTAGTAATACATTTATTTGTTTGTTTATGTACCTGTGTGTGGGGTGTCTGTGTAAAGGTTACAGGACATTATGCCACATTGTGGGTCCTGGGGGGTAGAGGGGGCGGTCATCAGGCTTAGTTACAGGTACTGTTTGCTGCTAAAATATGGCTAGATTTGTTTAAAGAAAAAGAGATCTAAGCCGGGAGGGGAAGGATAGAGAAAGGAAAAGAAAAGAGAAGGTTAGACCAATACTTGGTGACCTAAAGGGTGTTTGTGATATTATTTGATATCTCTCAACTATCATGAAATAGTTAAGAGAATACGGCATGGGTCAGGAAGAAACAAGCACTTTCTGCAAATGACTGAATCATAATTAGATTTTGTGTGACATATGGCCTCTGTCATAATGGTTCATCTTTTCACATCTGGTAGAAAGATAACTATTGCCAATATATAGGAGAATAGATGTGGCTGTGTTCCAATAAAGCTTTATTGATAAAATCTGTTAGTGGGTCTGCAGGCCATGGTTTGCTTGCACTTGGCTAGCTTAGAGAAAAACTGTGTGTATTTTTTATGTTTTTAGGGAAGTCTTCAAGTTGTTCATACTTGTCACTTTGTGGGAAAAAAAAGGGAGAGTGTTTTAGTTAGAATTCTGTTGCTATGAAGAGACACCATGACCATGGCAACTTTTATAAAGGAAGCATTTAATTGGGGTGGCTCTCTTTCAGTTCAGTGGTTCAGTCCATTATCATCGTAGATTACTTGATGGCATAGCTTTCTCTGGGCTCAGGTCTTCACTAATATCCTGCTTCTAATGGTTCAAGGGATGCACAGTGAGCTCTAGGAAGTACTCATAGAGTAACTAGCAGGCTACAGATTAGGCAATGTAAAATGCAAAGCCTGGAGTTTTCTGCCTCACCTGTCAGTAGGTCTAACCCCGCCTCCCTCCTCCAGCCAACTCAGATCTCACCTCTTCTGTCCACCGGGATGTCTTCTCTTGGAACTTCCAGACACTTCTATCTGTTTTGTACATTGAGTGATGTAAGGCATTGCTTCGCACCCTAAATGGTTGTATATGGTGTATATGAATATACAGCCCCAGCTGCAAGTATCATCTTAGAGAATTAGACTTTTGTCTTGTACATTTTCATGTACATAGCCAATTAAAAGCTAGTAATGAGTGCTAAATCCAAGAACAGTTTGTCAATGTGATGGTAGGTATCTTCACATAGAAAGGACATTTACATCAAGAAGTGATGCACATTTTTAATGCCAGTACAAGGAAGGTAGGGGCAGGAGAATTGAGAGCTCAAAGCTAACCTGGGCTACACACTAAGACCATGTTCCAAAGCAATGATGTAATTAAAAGCACAGCACATGCATAAGGTAGAATCGGTGTCCCTGCTGTGGTGAGCAGGGTTCAGGAAAGCGCTAAAGTGATTCAGGTGGACCCAGGCATTTAAGAACCAATACTTTCTAGTTCCCCCAGCTCGGCACAGAGTTAAGTTGAGGATAATATGCACCCTTCAGTGATGAACTGGAAATTTAAAAAATTGCTGTTCTAACTGTAACAAGTTGGGGCTGGAAAGATGGCTCAGTGGTTAAGAGCACTGGCTGCTCTTCCAGAAGATCTAAGTTTGACTCCCAGAACTAACCTCACAACCATCTCTAACTCCAGATCCTGGGGATCTGATGGCCTCCTCAGGCACCAGGCACATCCCAGGTACATAGATACACATGTAGGCAAAATGCCACACATATAAAATAATAAAAATATTTGAAAGAATATTTTAAGGATACAACAAGTTTTTAAAACTGTTTTAAAGTCCATCTGTGCTCGCTGGCCCTCCTTGGAGTCTGCTTATCCAGCAGGCTGTAGCTCACCTGGAACTCCACCAGGGCCATGGAGAAGGGAAGCAGGAGGCCAGAGTTTCCTGTGGGGAAGTCCAGGCCTGAATGTCCTGTTTCCTTCTGCTCAATTGTTCAAGGGAGGGAAGGCAAGCTAAGTGTTCTTTGTCCGGAACCCCTAGGTACCAGCTCTTTCCTACGCAGGAATAATGAGCGTGTCTGCTTCTATGGGTATGGGGGGTGAGGTGAGGTGCTAGGGGCAATGATACATGTCTGAGCAATTTCCTTTGTGTCTGCTTAGTAGCACAGTTAAGCAGGTTTAACTCACTACTTCCTATCTTTTAAAAAATAATGTTGTGTGTGTGTGTGTGTGCATGTTTCTGTGTGTATATGTTCATGCTAATGTGTGTAGTGTTCACTCTTGTGTGAGTGTGTGTGCATGTCTGTGCATGCTTAGGTGTGTGTGTGTGCCTGTGTACATGTTTGTGTGTGTGTGTATACATGCTTGTGTGTATGTACATGCCTGTAAGTATGTGTGTTTATGCTTATGTGTGTATGTGTTCATGCTTGTGTGTGTCTGTATGCATGCTGTGTATGTGTCTGTGTGTTCATGCTTGTGTGTGTGTGCCACGTGTCTCTGGAGGCTAGAAAATGCTGGATTCTCTGCAGCTAGTTATAGACTATTGTGAGCCACCCAGTGTGGGTTCTAGGAAATGAACTCAGGTCCTCTGAAAGAGCAGTATGTGCTCCTAACTGCTGAGCTATCTCTCTGGCTTCACTTCCCAACATTTTAAAGTTTTTACAAAACAAAAACCAAACACTTAATCTATACTGGAGTGTCCTGGTAGGTTTTAGATTTCTGAGCTCACACACTACCCACCCCTCGCTCTCTTTTTGTTTTTCCAGACAGGGACAGGGTTTCTCTATGTAACAGCTCTGTCTATCCTGGAATCTACTTTGTAGAACAGACTGTCCTTGAACTCACCGAGATCTGCCTGCCTCTGCCTCCCAAGTGCTGAGATTAAAGGTGTGCACCACCATTGTCTAGCTCATAGTCTTCTTTAGTAACCAGAAAATGTCCCACAGAAGAGTGAACAAAGCAGAGAGGCAGCGCCATCTCTACTCTGACCTGGGCAGTTGGCTTTTCTCCATCACATGTGTGTGAATGCTAGCAGTCACTCTCAGTTCTCTCCAGCACTCTGTCTCTTGAGTGTGGATTCAAATATCTCTCAGTTCTATTTCCCAGACTGTCCTAGACTAACAGTCACCATCTTTGAGTAAACATAATGACTTTGGGTACTAGCACAAGGCTCTCTGCTCTGAGCTTGGAGATGCTAAGCCAGTCATGCAGCCTCCCTGTGCCACAGAGTTCCCATCTGAAAAATGGAAGTATGGATAGTGCCTATCAGTGAGGCTGTTGTGGAGATCAAATAACTGAGTACTTACAAGGCATCAGAACCATATTTAGTGCATGGTTATGAGGCAGCATCAAAGCATCTTAGGTGGCTCTGCCTTGGACCAGCTGCCTTCTGTGCTCCTAGGCCCTTGACAGCCCCTGCCTTGAAAAACAACTTCTTCCCATCTCTTTCATGATTCCAGGACACTTTCAATATGCCTGTGACTCAAACTGAAAGAGAAAAGATAGAACACTTATGCCATTGTATTGTAGTGGCCATTTACCTTCCTTTATTTCTGTCTCTCTTTCCCATTTGAACCCTAGAAACCTTTGTACCCAACAATTTCTCACCTTGCTTTTCCAAACAAAAGATTATCCTGTTTTCCCAGGCCTCCCACTGATGCAGTAGATACTACCCCCACACGTACACACATTGTAGAAACGGCTGTGACCAGCTAATTTTAAAAGTGAAGTCCTTTGCCTTTTTTACTACATAAAGATGAATCACAGCTTTCAAAGAACTTACTAATCAGACAGGAGGTGGAAATCATACAGACAAACAGGCCTTTGGGGAGGGAAGTTCTGTGTCAAAATTAATAAGTACTGAAGATAAAAAGGGAAGTGAAAGCCCCAATTGGCTTACTGTTGTAAGGGGAGAAAGGTCATTAACTATCGCACCTGAACTTCAGACATATATATCAATCCCCTATCAGCATTAACA